AGCAACTGCTGGTGCATGTAAAGGATTCACTCTAGCAGTTTGTGAAATAACACTTTTTATTGATACAGACTGTGACAAGTTAAGGTTTAAAGATTGCTGGTGATAATACCTGACTGCAAAAACGTATTTACAGCAACATACAAACAAGCCCTAATCCCAATAGCAATGTTCATCATGTGTAGATTATGGTTCTTACCCAATAGGCATTCCTATAGGGGGAGAAGACAGGTTCAACCTCTTGACTGATCCCAGCACTTACAATGGAGTCTTCCCTGATTCCACCCCCCTTCTCAATTTACTTTTATACTGTTTCTTTCTGTTTAAGTGGAGCTTGAGTGACTTAAGTCATAAATACTTTTGTTTCTGATTGGTGTAAAATCCTTTCATTTCACTTTTGAAGATACAGTCAAAAAAGTATAGGGCTCATGCCCAGTGGGGTGCGGTCATACCTTGGAGGCAGGTAACTTTGGGATGGAGGTGTGCATTATTATTACTATTAGGCTTTAATGAACCAAGCTGGTCTGAGAAGAGATTTTGCCACAATTGTTGGTTTAGCAGCAGGACATCTTTTTTTATCTCCCTAGGCTTACAGGTGCTATTTGGTTTTATCAACTGCAAAGTACTACTATGTTCCTCTCCCTGCAGCGATTTCCATGGAGGCAGGCAAAGGCATCTCCACTCCACCCTCCATTCCACCCCCCCTTAGCAGGTGCTGATTTTTGTAGGGCGAGTCATTGTGAAACGCATTCTCTGCATTCCATCCAGGGAGTAACAGATGCATTTTACCCTATAATTTCTGTACCGTTGTAACTTCTGTTAGGCTGTGAATATAGCTTCTTAGTTTCCCCTAATTTTAACCCCCTGGCCATTTTCCCACACACTGAAAGGAGATAATTGACTAAAAGCTTTTCAGTTCTTCTGAAAAATATAAGTTGTATCTAGATTAATTACTCTTTTGTTGAGTTTAGCCTAATGTAATCTTAATCCCTAGAGACATTCAGTTCTGGAAAGGGTCCTTTATAATAATAACTGACAAACAAAAAAATAATTTTCAGGTTTACTGTATTTTTCTACTTAATTACTGTGATAAAAATAAAAAGGGAAGTACTAATTAAAGTGGACACAGAGCTCCACTGTGTACCTTCAGAGTAATGTATGGTAGTTATGCCCACCGAATTCAATTATCAGTAAAGCATATTCATGCACAGATTGTGGCTCCTTTGCTTGTCTCCAATAATTTAGACTCAATAATAGCCTTAGCAACAATAATGATTTTATTTTATTTTCTGGCTCCTTGTTTCCTCTGAAGTGTTTGCGGTTCCCACAGGAGTGCTTTCATTTTACAAACTGAACAGTTATTTGATCATTGACACTGCCACTGATTTGTGGAGTAACAGGATGATTAAGTATACTGGCAGAGTACCTCATTTACTTACTGATAGGCAACAAATGCTTTGTCTCTTTTCTTTTTTATGAGTTTTCATCTCTTTGCTTTTATACTTCACTGAGCTCCTATTAGCAATTGACCCACAATGTGGAAGTGCAGGCGCGTTCCATGATGGCTTTAGGCAAACAAAAAGATCATCAGTATACTCAGGAGTGAATCAATTTTTCCATTCTCTGAAATAATAAAATAGCCATTTTGAGGCATGTCAATTTGAGCTTTCCTGAAATCCTCCCAGCGCAGCGTAATTGCTTGCAGAGACTTGTCCTAATTGGCAGTTTAAGGAAAGAGAACCAGACAGTTCTTACCACTTTCCACATGGAAAGTTCTCCAGAGACTGTTGAAACAATTAATAGGCATTTCTGTCTTTCTGCCTAAGGTTCATGACTTGAAACAGCAGAAGAAATGATAGCAGATCACACATTGAGGAGTCTGTGAACTTTTCCCAAAGCACATGACATCCTCTGGAAAAAGACAGCTTGTGAGGGAGAGGAATGCACAGGGGAGAGGAGAGGTTTCATACATACTTTTCTGTAGTTCTCCCATTGTTTTATGTGTATGTGTGCATATGTGCATATGTGCCTCTATAAAACATTATATCTGGATTTTTCCCCTGTGAAAACTTTGGAGCTGTATTTTTTACTGTTGTGATCAAATTAATTGAAGCTTGCATGTCATTTTTTCAGTAAGGAGGTTTATACTTCCTCTTTTTTTCACAGTGAGTTATTTCAGTGATTCTCCTGCAACGTCTCTTACTCTCCCTAGGGTTAAAAGAAAAAGATTTCTTAATTCATTGCTTTTAAACTTTTGTTTTGGAATGGATGATGAAAATACTACATCAGAAGAAGTCTGTTGTAAACCTGGTTACATGAAACAAGTGCTTGTGTTTTCCCTTGGTAGCAAAAAAGAAAAATCAAGGGAAAACTGTTTACTGAGGTTTTAGTATGGAGGTTTTTAAAATATAGTGAATAATCTAAAGGATCATTTTACCTCCTCTCTGGTATTGAATAGACACAAATAAGCTTTTTTCTCAAAACAAACGCCCCCACTGATTCCCCACATAGTCCATTTTGAAGATGCTACATCTGTGATGTATTTCTGCAATGAACAACAGCATCTTTCAGAATATTGTCTGCTAGCTTGAACTCTCAACTCAACCAGACTCACTCCTTTCTCAAAATATTCTAACTGCCACCATGAACTCTTACTCTGACAGTCACCCTGTAATGACAGCAGACACAGCAGGGGCCTCCCCTGGGAGAGACGTGCAAAATACAGCATTTCTTTAAGTGCAAAGAGCTATTTCTCATTTCCCAACTGCATCTGAGGATGTGTTTAACTGGCAGGTAAATACATATTTATTAAAACAGGAAGGTAACAAATATTCATTTGGTGTTTTCATAGCATTCTTTATATTTAGTGTCCTGTTAGAATCAAAGTGTAGGAAAGAAATTATTTTTCAGCAGATACTTTCTGTTAAACTCATTGATCCTTAAGATGTGTTTTAGTTTTTTATCTGGTGACCATCCTATACACTGGTTCTAGAGAAGAGACTGCAGGAGAGAACCTGGGATAGGATCAACCAAGGGTCTTGCTACCACTTCTCTCACCTAAGAGCTATTTGCTTTGCTGCAGAAAATGACGGCACGTTTAAGTTTTAGACACTTTATTGTGCTCAGTGATGCTGAGAACCCCTTGTCTAACTTACCTGTCTGGAAAGCTTATCATAACCATTATCACTTTCAACTACAGCAAAGTCCAACTGGCTTTTCTTATGCATAGTTACTACAGAGAAGAATTAATAAAACAATATTCTTTAAATGCTCATTTCTTTTCCTTTTCCCCACTTTTCCCTGAATTATATCACCTGGAATGAATTTGCACTCCAGATACTGCAGCATTACAGTTCTTGTCTGTCTCCATATCTACTGTTCTTATCATACATATATATTCCAGGTATTGCTATTCAGGGCACCTATCTATTATATAAACAGAAGCTAGCTTTTTAAAGTGAGCACAACTGTGGTAAGTAGAGACCATATGCAGGGGTTAAGCATGGTGTGCTGACAGAGGATGTGCTTATCTTTTTTAATGATTTGTTTCATGACATTTGGTTTTGCCTGGTTATGGAGTAACACTATTGCAATGTGATTATTCTTATGGTGTGATTTAACTGTTCTTTAAGGAAGGTTTGTCAAAAGAGAAGGGTCATTGTGGTCTGAAAATCCTAAGGCTTATTGTCCTAGTTCCTGAAATATTTGAAATACTTCAAAAGTTAAGGCCTTCTAGAAGTTGTCTTCACCTTCCAGGTACAATAGCAAGATAAGTGTCCATGTCATAGCAGTGAAAGGAAGGAGATGTTCTGCTTCAATACTTTCCTTTCAACTGTCAGTACAAGAAGCATGAAAGTGAACTTTATGAAAATTCCACAGAAAAATTCGTGAAGTGGGAGGGAATATGTGCCTAGCGATGGCTTGCTTTGAAGTGGGCTATGCTGAGGAGATCTGCACATCCTGGAGGTGTCCAAACGTCTTAAATTTGGCAATACCCATAGATTTCAAAAACACATGGTCACAGTTTTGGTCTTGTTTAATTTTTTTGCAACTGCTGGAGCTAACAGCGAAATGGAAGAGAGGGTAGTACAGCTAATCTTTCATCCCTTTGAGTGCTGGGAACCCCAAGCTGTGCAGCACTGGATGGACCGCCTAGTCACAGCACACGGCACAGAACCCTTGTTGACTGGCATGATGATCTTTAGAGCTCCTAGAGGATTTCTTAGAAGTAAACAACTCTATTCATCATTTCTATTGTCAGATAAAAAGGATGTTTACATGAGAACATTCTGCTCTCTTTGATATAAGGACAAGGCCATGTCAGTGGTGTCGTGACCAACTGTCAAGTGGGAGATGCTTTGGGGCTTCTCTGATAGAATCAGCCACTGGGTTTATCCTGCAGCCACATCATACAGCAGCCAGGCACAGCACAGGCCTGCACCACCCTCAGGTCAACTCTTGAGGGAATACAATAGTATTCCAGTTAGGATCACTACAGGTGCCAAAACCACACATACAGTTGTCCTCATTTTTCCTTCTGAACTAGTTGACAATCACATGAGAAATAACAACAGCGTTTTTATGTTTGTAGACTGAATAATTCTTGTGGTAATAACAAAGAAATACTCAGACCTCTTGAACATGCTTTGTAATATATATTTTCTAATATAAATTTTGTTGGTTTAGCAGTAAACAAGCATCATTAGATGTTGCATATGAAATACTGATGCAGAGTAAGTCATCTGCAGACTTGGGCTGTAAAAATGTAACCAGGTGTGCTAGGAGTAAAGTCAATTCATCATTTAATTTCTCTGTCACCATAAAAAATTAGCACAGGTTGCCAAATCAAGTGGTTGCCTAGCATCATAAATGCAATTATTTCCCCTCTTTGGAGTTTTGCATCCAAATGCTTCTGTAATCCCTTACTCTGTTATAACCTCAGATGCCTTGCTTTCTCTAGTGGATTTCTCACTTTCCTCACACTCTCCCATGTGTCTTTGCAGTGGTCAGTGTACATCCGTGCTGCTGTCCGCAAAGAAAAAGGATTGCCAATATTGGTGGAACTGCTTCGAATAGACAATGACCGGGTGGTATGTGCAGTTGCTACAGCTTTACGAAACATGGCCTTAGATGTCAGAAATAAAGAGTTAATAGGTATGTTCTTTCCAAAAAATCTATTTGTTCTGTGGGCTTGGGGTGTTTTTTCCAGTTTTCAGCAGAATGAGCACAATGAAAACTATTCTTCTCACATTTCTAGAACAATTTATTTAGTTCTTTCTCTAGTGTGTCATGTTTAGTTTTTTTGTGACAGCTTGCTGGTATATTGCAAGGAATTGTTAAATTGATTAAACATCATGCAATGTTTCTTGATCTCTCATACTCTAATCTCTGTAAGAAAAGCAATGGCTTTGTTCTGCTTTAGCACTTCATTCCTAGGCTGGCAGTAGCAGGATCTAAACATTCCTGATCCTCAGATTACCTGTTGCAAGCAACTTTGGGGTCATGAAGTGACAAATCATAAAAATCTTAAGATGGTTACAGGAATTTACTGGGCAGATTAGTAGCTCCAACAAGAGAGCTAGGAGATTCTTAATTCACAAACACATACAATTAAGGAAAAGGATGGTAATTTATGTAAATCATTATTGCTCCTGAATTTTGATTGTATGGGAAGCCCATATCTTGGGGGTTTGGACTTTTTTAATTTTGTGTAGGCTTTTGGTGGGGTGTTTTTATCTGAAATTGATCCAAACACTGTGGATTGTTAAACTTCTATTTTCATGTTCTGTTTTTAAAAATAATCACTTCCTTGATTTTTAACTCTTTCAATAATCATGACAAAATTATTTCTACTTCAGTACATTAAAAGCATATTTTGTATTCATTTTTGCTAACTTGTTCACTTATTATCATTACAGCATACTTCTCCTCCTCTGCTTTAATTCCAGTATTCCACAAATAGATACTTTGTTCATAATGTTTGTTATTTTTATCCAGTTCTATTTGAGGGTTAATGCTTCATTACAACAGTGCTCTGCAAGTTGTTAAAACAAGGCAATCACAGCTCTCACACATTGTACTAATGTTCCCAAGTCTGCAAATTTTGTTTAGGAAAGTAAGACTATACATGTGAAATTACCTGTCTTATCTGATGTGCCATTCAAAATACTGGTTAAATTACAGATAATTAGTTTACTCAACCTCAAAATTTTAATATTTTGTTAAATTCTTGAAGAACATGTGATAAAAGCAAAGATGAATTAAAAAAAAAAAGGTGGGAAAAGTCTGTTGAAAAAAATTACCTAATAAATGTATGTAGACAACTAGTAATAACTGTACAGTGCTGCTCATGTTAAGTTATTTGTAGGGTTATTCTGAGGAATTGTACTTCATAACTGCAATACAAATTTGCTGCAGTTTAAAAACCATCCAAACATGCCAGTATGACAGGAGAGTTATGACTATAATTCTTGTACCATTTCAGCTGTGATCTTTGTATGTTCATTTCTTTGGCTTTCATCACTGAACTTCAAAGAAACTAATAACAGTCATTACTGCTCTTGTCCTCGAGTATTTTTTGGCAAATAGGGCCTATCTTAAGGCTGATTTTCTGAAATGCTGAACATTGCATTGGTCAAGAATTTCAACTCATGTTGTAGGCCATCCATTTTTGTGATGTTGCAGTTCCACGTATTGCAGGATGCCTTAGCATTTCCAGTTATGGAAAGGAAGATTCAAAAGGGGCTTGCTTTATTCAGTTAGTTGCTCAAGCATCTTTCTGCCTAACCAGAATTGACATGGTATTTGTCTTTCCTCTTTGCTATTTTTATTTGTACATCATATTCTTGAGGTGACAAACTTTACATCACTAGCTGTAATTTCCCCCTAAGAAAACCTTTTCAAAGGTGAATTTTCCAACTGTATATACAGTAAAATTAAATAGGTAGAATTGAGTTGGTTGCAATTTTTAATGCCTATATAAAACTTTCTTTTCAGTGATGCTGTCATTCCATTCCAGCTAACAATTTTTTACTAAAATGTGCCAGAGAATGATATATTTTATTCTGCTACTGCCAAATAGCCCATAAATCAGTGCTGAGGCACCTGGAAAGTATATCAGAGAGCTTGCTAAAATCCAGACTCGCCTATACTAAACTACAAAACAAACAGAAAGACCCCTTTTTCAAATGGCCAGAAGTTTCATAGTAGGCTGCATTGAATTGACCAATCTGCTTTATTTTTCACACAGATCGATCAACTGTATTGTTATATTGCTAAAATATAACAGGTGCCAGGCTTCTCTATAAATTATCTGAGCCATCCCCATAGCAGCATTTCCTTTATTTATAGTGAGGTCTTCTTTCTAGATTTCATTTCAAACATGCTCCATGTCTTTAAAAGGACCCTTTTTTTCCTTCTATTTTATCGCTTTTGCATTATGTCATGTGTCTTTTGACCAAGACAGTAGACATATTCATCTTTTTTCATCCCAAAATGAAACTTCACTCAGACAAAAACATGGTAAACCTGACCTACTTAGTCACTAGGTAATCTAGCACCCAGTTTTCCCTCCTTGGGCATACTATCCAGGTTTCTGGTTGTAATCAGATCAGCTGCTCCTCATAGGACTTACCATCCAGACCCTTCATCAGCTTTGTTGCCCTTCTCTGAACTCACTCCAGCACCTCAATGTCCTTCTTGAACTGAAGGGCCCAGAATTGGACAGAGCACTCAAGGTGTGGCCTCACCAGTGCTGAGTACAGGGGCAGAATCACTGCCCTGCTCCTGCTGGCCACACTGTTCCTGATACAGACCAGGGTACCATTGGCCTTCTTGGGCACCTGGGCACACTGCTGGCTCATATGTACAAAGTAGGAATTGTCCTCTTGCAGTAAAATTTAGAACTTGTATTAATATTACATTTCATACTGTTTAATACTGTCCATTAGGGTACAACTGGAGTGAATGCAGAGCTAGAGTTATAAAACTTCAGTGCACAGTTTTGTGCTTCAAGTCTTTCTGTCAGTTTTCTTTTATCCTGACAGTGGTTTCTAATGCTGTTCTGGGTCAATGTTGATTAAGAGAAATATTGTACTAGTAATTGAAAAACACTGTTCTCTCTCTTGGCCTGTATTTTTGTAGGTTGGTTTTTTTTAGAGATTAGTTGCGTTTTAATCCTTCACTCTTGAAAAAAGGACCGTTCCACCTGAAGTTTTGTTGACTTCTTGTACTGTGTAGAAAACAAGTCCCTATGCATCTCTGCCTTTAAGATGTGTAGGGAATCCAGGCGTCTCTTCAGGGGTCTAGATTCTAGGTAGTTTGATGGGATAAGTTGAAGTGTTGTAATATTTAAGACATCTTTATTGTAGCTATTGGTGTAAAAGCTTGAATCAGATGAGTAAAGTTTGTGGTACAATTTCTTCTGCCTTCACAAGGTTTTGAATGAGGTCCTGAAACAGGGTGTTTAGCAGGGGTCATTTTTAAATAATTGTTTGTGAGTTGGAGGCTACAAGTGTCAGTACTGAAGGATACTCCATTCACTACTCATCTCTCTGTAATGCAGTTATAAGATATACACAAAATTCAAGGATAGTGTATCAATTAAATTGTTACTTAGTCTGTGCTAGAACTTAGTCTTGCTATCTGTCTAAAACTTCATAATCCAATATAAGATACCTGTATTAGACTACTTACAAGTGACTGAGAGAGACTCACAGGTGACTCATTTTATCTAGCACGCAATAAAAGGGATCTCTCCCTGTATTACCATCTCACCATTGTTTAGTGATGAAAAAGTTCTCAGGAGCGTGTAAATTGCCACTGAGTGTATGTCTTGTGATCTCATGAACCATGTGGATTTGTTTGGTTGCCTGGAATAACTAGTGTTTGTTTCAAAGTTATATTGCTAAACTTGAGAAAATTTGATTGAAAGATATATCGTGAGTTCACAGCTCAAATGAATTATTAGACCTGCAGAAAAATTCAGGTTGGAAGGAACCTCACAATGTCATCTTGACCAACCTTGCGCTCAAAGAAGCATCAGGTACATTATTTCAAAGTGTAATCTTGATATTTGGAAAGATTTCCTTTCAGCTGTGAGGCTGAAAACACCTCAGAAACAAGTATTTGCATTCCCACTGCAGAACATGACTCTTATGGAGCATAAACAACTGCATGGGGTCTTCCTATTTTAGAACATGCTCACATTTTGTTTCAGGAATAGCAATAAAACCAAGTGAAAAGAGTGTTTAGTGTTGTAGTTACAAGAACAGCAGCTAAGTCCTAGTAATGTACATTGACAGAAAATAGAAGGATGTGTCAGGAGATGATTAAATCAAATATGCAGCTTTCTTCCCACTTAGAGAACTTACATGCTGTTTTCTCTTTCTAAATGTGAGCATTTCAGAATTTCTCACACATGCATCTGTAAGGATCTGGGAGACATTGAATTTTTTATTGAATTGTTAATTGACCTATAAAGTATCTTAGTCACTGAAATATTAAATTGACATGAATTCGCAATGCAGAAGATGCCAGAAAGCATTGATCAGGACTTGTAGGCGTTTGTTCAAAAGAAGGTGAAGACAGAATGTATACTGCAATTTGTCTAATTTGTGCCAGGTTTTATTACACTTCATTTGTTGTGTTTGGTAGTTGAGCTGTGCAAAACAATAAACAGATACCTGAATGAGAAAAGATTGTCAGCAAGAAGTTGATTTACAAAATGAGATGTATGGTCATGCATTAATAACTGGTGCTCCTCATCCTATATCAATGAAAAGAAAGATGCTAGTTAAGTTAATAAATGCATAATTAAATTTTTATGTTTTATATCATGTATGGTAACATCTGGACTCTCTAGTTTCTAATGTATACATAAGTTAGCTAAGAATTTAAACTGATAAATGTTTAAATGTTAAGTATTTTTTCCATCGCAGTTTAAAAGCCTTGTGTCAAAGAGATCTCAACTTTTAATGTGCCTTCAGCCACTTGTGCATTGCTTTTTGCTCCAGTTACTCTCAAATATATTTCTGACAAGCAGACCTGGTAGTTAGAGAGGTTAGAGGAGGTTTGCTCCCTCGGTCTCTTCTTATTAAATAACATTCTCACGTGAAGGGATTTAGGGGGAAAACCAGCATTGGTAAAACAGAACT